TCCTTCTTCTCTCTCTTCTTGGTCTTCTTCTTCTTCCTCTCCTTCCTCTCCTTTTCCTCCTTCTCCTTCCTCTCCTTCTCCTTCCTCTCCTTCCTCTCCCTCTCCTCCCTCTCCTCCTCTGTTTCTCCTTCCTCTCCCTCTCCTCCCTCTCCCTCTCCTCCTTCTCCTTCAACATACTCTCGAGACCCATCACCCGATAGACCACCTCCTTCATCAGGTCCTCCGCCATCTTCCCACCACACCTCATCAGTAAACTGTACTCCTCTTTCATCTCCTTGATGTGCATCGCTGCGCATGATGAAACCAAGTTGTGTAAGCCGTGCGCCTGTTGATCATCGATCAAGCTCACATTGCTGTGCTCGTAGACATAGAGGAGTAGATCGCTCAAATTGTCGGTGAACCGAGGGCGGACCGGTGCCGTGCCTGCCTTGTCAAGTGCTTTGCGAAGGCGGTTGAGACATAGGGTAGTAAGCGAGCTTCGTCTCTGGGTTTGGGAGAGGACGTAGAGTTCCGCATGGCTGAAGAATACTTCCCCGTAATCCAAGCCATCCGGATGTCCTGATCCAGTGTCGCTGTCTTCGATGTCGCCGACTCTGCCGTCGTCTTTGTTGCCCTCGTCTTCGCAGTCATCCCCACCGTAAACGCTGCTCGTGGGCGTAGCTAGTAGCGGTTTGACAGGTTCCGGAGCACTATAATCGCCCTGATAGCAATACTCCAGGAACCGCTCCACCGTAGAAGTCTTGAAACTATCCCACGGGGCATCCGTGCGGATACCCTGCCCCGAGTCAAGCACATCCGCATGGGCGTGGAGTGCTGTCCCATCCACCGTCTCGAGCTGCACCATCTTGCCCCTAAAGCGGCTGGCTATATTAGGTCTTCCCATTGTATAGTGGAGCCTTGGTTTGTAATGAATATTTTCTCGTTTGTCCCGAGTATGGAGTGTCTTTCGAAGTGGCGGGGACCTTGGCACGGTTAAGCGAGGCGAACTTGTTCTCGTTGGTTTCGGGGTTACCCGGCTAAAGAGAAGGTGGGTTCTGTGGTCCCTGAGTTCTTGGGTTTGCCTGACTTTCTTTCTTTTTTCTTGTGAAGTCTGCGGTTTATTCGTAGCTAGCGAACTTACAGGAAACACCGTTGCATTCATCTTGAGGTACTTGTATGGCTTAAAACCCCTTTAACAGAAGAAACCCACCCCTGTCCAATGTCTCCAATCCTGCAGTCCCTCTGGTCTGGGACCAACCACACCTCCCCCAAGAGATTCGAAAAGGCGGGCAGAAAGAAATCCCCACCAGTAGACACCAACAGTGAGAGGAAGAGACCGATAAAAAAAAACACAGGCCTGACCAGTATTTACAACGACCCGATCGAGTCCCAGATGGTAAGAGGAAGAACGGACACCCCTTTTCCTGAATTAAAGGGCGAAGGAACCTTGACTTGTCTTACAAGCGACTCAGCCTGCGTGTGCTGGCCTCCGGGATGATTCAGCAGCAGGACGGTGTCAACGTCAACCATGAAGTTCAACCAGTTGAATGACGAGAGGCTGTCGCCAAGGCAGGGTTACCGAGGCGTTGTCACCGAGACAACCGGAGGTGGTAGTAGTTTTTGCTTCATTTAGCTATAGGCGAGGGTGCCACCATGGAAGAGGGTAAGGCAGGTAGCATTAGGGTGCCAGCCATGGCGCTTTTATCTCAGAGGATCCCAGTCCAGTACATTTATGGAGTTCCGAGCCCGCTGACAGGGCAGGATCGTGAGATCTTTGGAGTGGTGTTGAACCCCATTCTGACCGCTCTAAATGGGGGGGCCAAAGGCGGGTCCAGAAGATAATGGAAGTGGAGCCTGGTTCGCCTGACTTTCTTCCTCCTATGCACTTGCATCCAATGAATCGGTTTGCCCCCAATGTGATGATTTGTGGGGGTGCACATACGGGCACCGTGAATATTCAAGAAAACTCACTATACAGCCTAACCCATCGCCCATGGTTTCTATTACCGATCACCCGCATAGCGTATGATCTCAGGGAGCCGCACAGAATATACACTGGTGTATTTTCTCCAATTCATGCCCAGCCTCACCTCCTGGGGGCTCTGTGAAGGCCCCATTCCCAAACCTGGTTCAGCAGCGATTGGGGTCTCCTACTTTTCGTAGCTACTTCTGTATGGTCAGGATTTCTACCTGTATCCAGAGATGCAATAGCGGGAGTTTCCGGAACAAGATAATTCCCCTGATTTTTTCTCCCGCCGTAGTCGCCGAACCCCGTCCCCCGTTACTGCATCCAAGGGATAGGCGTGATAGGAGGGATGGGGTCTCGGTCTGAAGTTTTAACGATATATCACGAATTGGGGAACGATACATTCCCGATCTCACCACATTTCTGAGCAAGACATCTTAGGCGCAGCACACTGCAGACCAAGGGGTACTGCAAAAACACAGGAGGATGGTAGCACGCGCAGTACAATACAGGAGCCTCCTGTTCTAGAAAAGTGTTGTGTGTTTCTTTTATCCCTCCTTCGCCGAGGAGCTGAGATTGCGCTGTTTTCCCCTCCTGTGATCAAGGGGATTCTAGATCCATGGCACATCTATCTTCCAATCGGGTACTTGTGGTACCATATCAATGTGCTTGCTTCTTTCTCCCCTTGCGGAATTATATTCTTCCTTCATCCTTCCACCTCGCTGTGCTGGGTGATACGGGTTGTGTACTGCCCGGCCGGTTGAGGCGAGAACCCGCCATCAAATTCCGAAGAACCCAAAATACCTACGCGTGGATGAACACTGGTGGAGAGCCGGAAGCAAAGTGTAGAACCACGTGGGTAATGGTGGGTTTTCCATATGGGTCCGGATCGGCTGATAGCTCATTAGTTCAAATGCACTGAAAATAATTGCCAACCAAAGCTTTATCCCCGGGAACAGTTCGGGTAATAGCACAAGCTTCAACACATATATCGTACATAATTATAGTAGACGAACGCCCTCACATATCCCTAGTATTCAACCCTTCGCTGCCAGTCTTTGTTTCCGACTCACGGCTAAAAGTTTAGGCAGAAACCTTCAAGGAGCTGTTGGAGGAAAACCGCTCGGGGGTGTCACCACCGAGAATCGACCTGCATTATCTCCACGACCGGTATATCATGCCTGAGGATGGTACCGGAGAATGGATTTTCGAAGAAGCTTGGTACAAGGAGTGGCAGGACAGCGAAGCATCCCAGCTTCTCAGGCTTTGCGGTAGCCCCGGAAAAGGAAAGACTATGTTGGCAAAGCGTGTTGCGGCCAAATTTCTCCCAGGACCCGGCCATCCTTCTAGTGGGGTTAAATTGGTCTACCACTTTGCCTCGCCCGAACCTCCGACTGACAAGTCATCTACTGATGAGGCCGAGTCACAAGCGCGGGCTTGTTAAAGTAGCTCGGGACTTACTGTATAGCATTCTACAGCAAGACGGGAGCCTTTTTGGTGGCTGCAAGACTGAACTTAAAATTCAGGGGGATAAATTTTTCACCAACCCCAATTCCCTATGGAAGCTTCTAAGACAAGCGACCCGAGATTGCCCGGATGGCTCTGTGTGCATTCTCATCGACAACGGAGGAGACTGCGGGGGAGATATAGGACGGGGCTCCAGACAAGCCCGGGAAGAATACCACAAAGGGGGCCATCGAAGGGGCCAGAGAAGAGCGTGGAGACACCAGCTTCCGAAGAGGCGAGACCATCATCAAATCCCTTCGGACAAGCTACCCAGGGCAAGCCTGGGTGGCGATCATGGGTCCCGCTCCCCCCGCCGCATGGATGCATACTTGGCGAGTAAAGAGGAAGGAAAAGGCTACAGCGTTGTAGTTGTGCGGCAGGAACGAGGAGTGCCCGTTCCCCCGTCCGTGGCCTGTTATTATAGCTCTTTGGCTGCTATCAAAGTGCTAACCGGTTGCCCCATGCTTTCCTCATTCATCACAACTCATGTATCGCGATTCCACGAAATATTTCCATTTAGTTTGGTTATGTTAAGTGATGGCTCCTCCGCCACTCAAGGGTAGTGGGCCTCTTGGGCTGCAACCCCCGCACTCCCTTGAGAGTTGTGTTCGCTCACACACTTGTTTTCCCCTTTACATGAGTAGGATATGGGGTATTCGAGGGATACCATAGGTTTACTGGGTAGCTAGCTTGGGTTGGTTATCAATTGTGGGAGGGATTTTTGGGTGGGATGGGGGATTTCTCGTTCATTGGATTGTTCGCCAGTCTAGGGAGGGCGGCGTGTCATGAATCATGTTTTTTTCACACTTAGTTCCCCCCCCGTCCAAAGGAATTTTTTGCTTCTTTGTTTTGTCGTTTCATTCCTTTGGTCTTTATTCAGGTTCCGTTCTGGCTATAGCCATTTTGCGATAGAGTTCTGTTTAGTTCACCGGAGCGTGGTGATGGTGAGGTTTCCCATGACAACTTTTGCAGCCGATCATATGTTCTGTTGGAACAACCTTCCATATGTGGTAACGGGTATCTCATGTATCAGGAGAGTGAGCGAGTAAGGACGTCACGACCCGAATGGGAAGTATGAACTAGTATAGACATCATTGTGGGACAAACTGTGACTGCTTGTACTACTATAAGTACGAGCCAAGTCCTCCTCATAGTTAATAGAAGCAGTGAATCGAACAATCCCCAGTGAGTTGCTACAACAGGTTATGAGCCCGGAATAGCGCAAACTGGGTGAGAAAGATATCTCAAAGACCTCATTCACTGAACATTCTCAATCCGTCTAAACACCTTGAATCTCCCCTCTTTCTACCACGATCCCTATTCTATTCAATCTCATAATGCAAGCCATAGCATCAAAGGACTTCCTCTCTGCACAGACTGAGGGCACCTATAGAACGGAATATAG